TCTTTGGAGCATCTCCAGCACTAACAGCTCAGCAGGTGCTTTTGTGTCTGCCTAGCATGAGGACCAATGCTTTCCTTCCTTCTCTCCCTGCTGGCTATGCTCCCCTCAACTTCCCTGGCCTGGCACAAGGCTGGGAATGAGAAGGATTAGTTTGTCCTGTTGTACCCCCCGGGAGCTGTTGTACTGAGCCATGGCAGCACACAGCTCTGGTGGAGTCCCACTGGGGCAGTGGTGGGGTGGGGAGGACAGGGAGAGGAGGAGGTGCCCCTCGATGGGGCTGCTCTGGGCTCAGGCTGTGCTCGCCTGCTTCGGGCTTCTCAGTGCTCCTCTGGGAGCTTCAGCCCCTGGGCAGCTTAGGCTGGTTTTCCCCCTCATCTTTTAAAAATTGAGAGGTGGGGAATTTTAGAGTGAAAAGGAAATCAGGCCTCTGCAGAGAGAAAGGATTAAGCTGGGCCCATCCCAGGATGCTCCGAGCCAAAACTTTTATCTGGAGGAAGCGGAGGGGAGTTCCAGCAGTGCCTGGGCACTGCTGGGAGAGCATTGGGCTCTCTGGAAGGGCCCTGCTGTCACCAGCTGGCCATGGGGAGATGCCCCAGGAGCCAGGGGTGCTCAGGGGAGACTTGCAGCCACATGCCCTCCCTCCCTGGTAAATGCAGAGCAGCATGGCAGGGGAGTCATCAGTCTGCACTTCCTTCCCCAAAGAGCCTCGCCCGCTCTCCCTGCTGCAGCAAGGACTGGGGTGGGGGCACAGAGCCTGTAGCCCCACCAGGCTGACTTTCCTCACTCTTTTGCCCTCAGATGATGGATAAGCCCAGCCTGGACTACTGCAGCATCTCTAGAGGCACGCAGGCTTTCAGACACAGCTCTGTGAGGCCTCACGAGGCTGCTCATGGGGCATTCAAACCCCGAAGTTACTTGGCAGTTCCTGTGGTTTCCCCTTGGTTAAACAGCCTGAAATGCAGTGGGAGGACAGAACAGCTTTGCCTGCTTGGGGCACTGCTAAATACTGCTAAATAAATGGGACTTGCCACAGCTCCTAGAGGCACTCCGAGAGCCAGGAGGCAGCTGAATGCCTGGTGGGGCTGCGGGACAGAGCCTCCTCCCAGGCAGGGAGAGCCCCCAGCTGCAGGGACAATGCTCTTGCCAGGGTGAGGAATAGCCAACCCCCTGGGGACACCCACCCCAACCCAAGGGCAAAGCTGGAGCTGCTCCGTGCCCTGCCTGTCCTCACCAAGGTAACTCCAGTGTTCACCAGAGTGAAACAGGTTGCCACGCTGTGCCATGCCATGCCATGCTGTGCCATGCCATGCCATGCTGTGCCATGCCGTGCCAGTGGGCGCTTGCAGGAGCTACCCCTGCGATTTACAGCTGTCCCTGGTCACCGGGAGCCGTGTCCTCGGCTCGGGGAGGTGCTGATGGAAGGTGCCTGTCAGCAGCCAGAACCACTGTGTCTTCAGTAAAGATGGGTCCTGAGTGCTGGGAGGGAGTGGCACAGCATCAACTGCGCTGTGAACAGACAAGCCAGGAGGGTTTTTTCGTGCTAAATGAAGACACAGAGGAAGTCCTGACGACACCGCTGGTTTTCTGTTTCGCTTCCCTCTGAAAACCCCCTTGAACATGCTGCTGCCATTGCAGTCACCTCTTGTATCGTCTTCCTTTACAGCCATCCCAGGCAGAAGTGCTAAGCAGGGAATTCAAGATGCAGGTTACCTTCACCAAGAATACGCTTGTCTGGGCTCGGCTCAGCCAAGCTCGATGTCCAGCAAGCAGTGCTGTGGCAATTTTGGCAGAGGGATGGGGGAGATCCCTCTTGGGAAGGCTCAGATAATCCTTTCTAACACATTTCCAACTACAGCCTGAGGAAGGTGCTTGAGCCAGGGAAGCCAGTGCCTCCAGCCCAGTGCCACGGTCCTTTCGTGCACCTCCAGGAAAGGAGGAGCAAAGCCCATGGGGCTGAGCGGCTACAGAGAAACCATCCTTAAAACCTCGATGTGGTGGCACAGGGGGGCATTGCCCCCCCCGTCACTGTCACTTGATGGCATGTCCCAGGGCCCCACTGGCATTGCCGTGGGCACACGCTGTTACCAGCCACCAGCTTTGCCTCCTCTCTTTTTGCACCTCACGTGTCCACTGCAGATATTTTGAACTTGAATGTTAAAATGTTCCAAGGAAAGTGTTCAGAAAATTGCTTAACAGGGAAAAACCCAGAAAACATTTCCAGCAAATACCCCTCTGTGATGCTGCCCCATCCTGCCCACACTTGGGCTCCCGCGCCGGCTCCCCAGGCCATCCACGCTCGTTTCGCAACCCCACTTGCGGGAGAAGCTGAAGTGGCAGCTCCCAGCCCTCCTGCTCGCTGTTCCCAGGCTGGGGCTTGTCTTTATCTGGGTTTCGAGAGGCACGTGTGTGCCCGCTCCTTCATCACGCCAGCTGCCAGCAGTGCCACTCCCCTGGGGAGCACGACCACCGCGAGACCAGGGCATCTCTCGGGCTGCTGGCGTGACACCCCATGGTCCCTGCACCACCGCATGTCTGCTCCCTTCCTCTAGGCACCCACTTAGCCAGCCTTCATGGCAAGTAACACAGAATTTGGTACCCATCGCCAGCCTCGTGGAATGTGAAGACACTCATGAATTCCCACCACCTGCACCCAGCTGAAACCTGGGTGAGGGTGAGCCAAAGAGTCACTGTCCCCCCCTCCCCGAGACCCACCTTCACAAACAGCTCAATCTCGGGCTCCTTGGTGGTGTTGTGACTGTCCATCCCGGCAGCGTGGGGACGGCCCGCTGGCTGTGGCGAGTTGGTCTGTCCTCTGCAGAACTCTGACGGGTGAGGCTTTCAGAGGGCTGACGGCTTGGGCCCCTCGGCTGCTCTCGCCCCGTGGAGGGCTGGGGCTCGCCCTTTCCTTCCTTCTGAAGAAGGGAGGAGCAACAGGGTGTGCGCCGGGACCCGCCAGCGAGCAGGGGAAGCTGCCGGGGCCTCCCAGACGTGACTCAGCACGGGTCTATCTGGTCATGTTCACGAGTCCCCTTCCAGTCTATCACACCCACCCAGGCACTGCTCCAGTGCCTCTGAGCAGTGGGCTGGTGTCCCCAGCACCGCTGCCGTCACTTCCCAGCTGGAGCAGGGCTTTACAGAGGAAGCGTCTCGCCTGCCGCTCCTCCTGCTGCTGCAGTCTCACAGTGGCCCTTCACCACTCTCCCACCCTCACACCGGTGTCTGGTGCCCCAGGGCTTCTTTATCTCCTTGGGGTGAACCCAGCTGACCTTCCCACTGCCTCCTGTGGCTGCATTACGATGGGCATCTGCCTGGAGGGAGGGTACAGCTCCTCTCCCAGCCTACCACCCTTGGGGGCCCCTGGCTGGGCTCCTCTGAGCACCCATCACTGCAAGGAGCAGGGCTGCACGGGGAAGGCGCTCAGGGAAGCTGAGTGGAGCAGCTTGGCCACCTGCCACCAGGTTTTTGAAGCCAGGGCTCAGCCCTTGGGCAGGAAGGATTGCAAAACAGCCAAAGTGGGAGAGCAGAGAGGCTGGAGCAGTGTCGGGGGGGAAGTGGGGAACCCCAGAGTGCCCCTGGCAGCCACCCAGCTGGGTGGTGTGTGGCAGGATGGTGGGAAGGGATGTCTCTGGGACTGACCCCCGGCAGGGCCCCATTCCTGGAATTTGGGCTGTTTCACAGGAAGGATGAACGGCTTGCTTTCCTCCCCAGGATGGGAGGGAAATGTTTGCTGTCAGATCGCCCTGGCTGCCGTCCCAGCAGAGACAGCTTCTCAGCACCCACGGGCTTAACTCTTGGGCAAGACCCGTCTTGCACCTCTGGACCCCAAAGCTGGTACCATTGCACAAAATGGGGACCCCCGATGCTTGACTCTGCCCCCCCCAAGCTCAGATAAGCTCCAACTTTCCTAAAAATAATCAATCCCTGTTCAGACAGCAATCCCCACTGAAGCAATTAGGATGGAAAATGATTTTGCAGGCTCCCGGCAGAGGCTCCCCAACAGAGATGCTTCTCCTAGTCCTGCTACTCAATCCAGAGTGATGTTTATGCTGGGGGCTGCAAGGGGAGGCAGGGGGGGCATGGGGGGCATTTTTCTTTCTGCCCCATCAAAGATTTTGGAGAACTTGGAACTCTCCTCGAGGGGACAGGAAGCTGCCTGACACTGAGGGATGCATTGGTGGTGCTGTTAGTGCCCCCGAGGCCATGGCAGCACCCCGAGCAGGAGCTCACCCGTCACCCAGCTCCCAGGTGATGTGATGTGATGTGATGTGATGTGTGCCGGTCCCTGCTGCCACCCCGCCCTCCGCCGCTGCCCCTGCCCGGGCGATGCTGAGCCTGCGGGAGCCGCGATGGCTCCTGGCACTGCCGACTGCTGCTGTCCGTGCTGACCTCAGCCGGGGTCGGAGCCGGCAGCTCCAGCCCGTGGCATTTCCCTCCAGCTGAAGCAGCAGGCAGGGATTTAACTCCTGCAGGCGGTGGGCACGGGATAGCACAGTGCCCTCCCCAGAAGGTGCTGGCATGTCCAGTACCTGGCCCCACAGAGGCTGTGGGGCAGAAGGGTGGCAGCAAAGACCGGCACCCTGCCCACAGGGTTGGGTGCAGGCAGGGTGTTTGTCTTTCTGCAGGAACAGCCGCCTGGGAGGCAGTTCAGGGAGCCTTTCCCTTCCTCCTCACAGGGTGAATGGCCGGACATTTGCCGAGATCGAGATTACAGCACATACGTATCCGGATTTCTGCCTCACCGTGCCTGGGAGAAAGCTGGGGGCACTTTGGAAACCTCTCCAAGCCCTGTCCCTCTGCCCAGGGGGAACAGAGGCAGAAGGGAGGGGGCTGCCGGTTTTCTCCGCCGGCAGCGGTGATGCCAAGGCATGGCACTCTCTCGCCCGTCGCAGAGCGCCTTTGAAAACATGTCCCCTCCCTGGGGGAGGTGTCCCTGTGCTGAGAGTGAACCGGCTGTCCCGAGCAGCCCCTGGCCCCGGGCAGCAGACAAAGAGCGGGTGCACATGCGCCCGCCCGGCCCGGGGCAGAGAAATGAGCCATTGTCCCCGCGCAGTGCCAGCCCCGCCAGCCACCGCCACGGACCCGGCCGGCACGGGCTGCCTGTGGGACACAGCGGCTGTGCCATGGCCAGGCTGGTGGGGCCAGCAGCGATCCTGGTCCTCCTCTGCCTGGCCGTGGGTCTGGAGGCCAGCCCGGAGCTCTCCGGTGAGTCGGGGTGCAGGCAGGGAGGCGGGGGATGCTGGACCGCGCCGGTGTGATGGGAGGGAGAAGCGACAGCAGGTGGGTGGGGTAGGGGCAAGTGAGCTATAAACCATGGCAAGCCAGAGGGAGTTTGCCCAAAACGCTGGGATTTCTTTATCCCCACGCAGGCCTGTGATCTGAGAAACATCACACACATCCCACAGCCGCGGTGTGTGTGAGGGAGTGGCTGCCCTGCTCTGTTGTGCTCCCTCGGACAGTTTGGAGGCAGAAAGGCAAAGAAAAAAAACATCAAGCCAGTCCCTGAGCTTTGCTGAGCCCCACCCCTCCCAACCACGAGGCTCATGCCGTCGGTGCTGGGCAGTATGTGGAGCACCCAGGGCTGCCTGTCGTGATTTCCCTGCTCTGAGAAGTGGAGGGAAGAGATGGGCTGAAGCTGTACCCGGTCCCTGGACAGAGCCAATGGCTGCAGCCCCAGCCAAAAGCACCCGTGAGTGGGGGTGCTGCAGGGTGCCCTGGCACAAGACACAGCAAGGGCCAGAGCCTCTCCCCAGGGCCTTGCTGGTGAGCCTTATAGATGTAGCCAAGGCAGAAATTTGGGATCCCTTGTGCCCCAGCACTTTGAACTGTCAGGACTGGTGCAGGCAGGCTGGGCACCAGGCATTCCCCAGGGATCATCTGGGAACAGCCATGCACACCTTCCTTCTGCTTTACCAAGCCTGGGTGGGTGAAAGCCTGATGCTGCAGGGCAGGCTGCAGTGAGGAGGAGGTGATCCCATCTGGGCAGAGCCAACAGCACAACCACAGCACCAGGGACTGTGTCAGCCACACCAGTGGGCCGCCAGAATCACTCACAAAGTCTGCATGCGGCCTCCTTGCTGTGGTGCTGCCCCCAAAAATCATCTTCACAGCTGCTCACTGCCCCAAAACAGTGTGATGGAGAAACCTCTGTCCTCGTGGCACTGTCTGAGCCTCGGTTTTAAAATACAAACCCCCAGTCATGCCAGCCAGGTGCTGACAGCAGGGCAGGGCTGGGGTTGAGGAAACCCATTTCTTCTCCTATTTCTTCCCTGAGTTCCCCACCATCCCCAGGATTTGGCTGAGTCCTTTGTGCTGGGGGCTGCCCAGCAGCAGGGGGTTTGGGCAGCTCCACCTCCAGCACTGTTGGGGGAGGTGGGTTTGGATTCAGTGCCAGGCAGAAGTCAAGGCATGGGTGGCTCTGGAATCTTCAGGAGAGCCTGGCTGCTGCCACAGGTGTGGGGCTCCTGCCAAGTGTGGGGCTGCAGCAGGGGATGCAGAGGAAGGCAAGGGGGGCTGGCAGCCTGGGCAGGGCCCCGTGCCCCTCACAGCCCCCAGCATCCAGTGAGATGGGACAACCATATCACTGGACAGAGCTTGTCCTGTCCGCTCTTCGTGGGCACTGCACCCTAAGGGGCAGAAATCCAGCTCTGTGCCATCCAAGGAGCATCTTTGCATCGTACTGGAGCTTCGACCTGGCTAAAACACCTTCTTTACTGCCACCCACCCTCCTCTGCCTCTCCTTTCCTTTCTCCTCCAGCATGCAGAGGAGCAATCAAGGGCTTGCTTGTGGGATGCTGTGGCCCCCCGCTCATTCATCCCAGCTTGTGAGGAGAAATGTCAAGGGAGAGAGTAACTCTGGGCCAGAGGCAGCTCCCAGCTGCACCCACTGACTCCCCAGGGAGTGATTCTGGCCGCAGATGCCAGAGGGTTAGTGGCAGCAGGGAAGGTGAAAGGGGCCCTTTGTGCCGCTGAGCCTGGCACTGGTTTGCGGAGGGAGAGAGGGGGGAGCTCGTGCTCCCACCTTCTTGTGTTGGTTTGGGGAGGTTTGACACACTGGGGGCTGGGGGACAGGGTTCATGTCCTACCCCAGGCCCCAGCTGTAGAGGGGGGGCTGGAGTGCAAGTCCCTCCAAAGACCCCACAGCTGGGGACTGGGGTCTGTGACCCACTCAGCAGCCCCGGGTTGCCCTTGTCCCCACCTGCCAGCCTCAAAATGATGCTTCCTCTTTGCTTTTGTTTTATTCAAAGACACAAATTGCTCCACTCAGGTCCCTGCACAGCTTTTTTTGTCAGTTTTTCCTGCTTCCTCAGCCTTCTCCAGCAATCAGTGCCTGCTCAGAGCACCTGGCAACTTGCAGAGCTGTTACTAAAACAGCTTCCTCGCCCACCCAGTGCAGCTGATGCCAAGTAGAGCTGATCTCTGCATGTTAAACCCTTGGAGAGGAGGGGCAGGACAGTCCCACCTCACTGTTCCCTGCAGGGAAAACAAGAGGGTCAGTGGTGTGTGACACAAACTAGGCAGGATTGAAAGAGAGAAGCATTCCATGATGGGAGTTCAAGGAGGGAAGAGCCAGTGCCCATTGGAAGGGCTGGGGGCCAGGAATGGCTCACACAGATGCACTGGGTTTCTCCAGCAGAGACCTGGGGCCAGCTGGGCTCAGGTGATGACTTGGTGGCTCACACTCATCCATACCAACCCAGCCATCTGTGGGATTCTGCTGGACCCTTCTCTCATCCGGCTCATGGCTCGACTTGTGACAGACCTGTGACCTGTGACTTGTGACAGAGCACATCCTCCTTGCCCTGACTCCGAGATCATCGCTGGGGGACCATCCCTGGCTTATCCTTGGTGTTCCCCCACCAGGGCTCCATAAAAAGCCTGATCTTCTCTGAACACTTGACAACTCCTCATGGGATTCTCCTGTATATGTTTTCTCTGACCTGTTGTCCTGCCTTCAGCTGTTGCTTCCCATTGCTAACCAGTTCAGCTATTCCAGGCTGCTTTCCAGCCCCTTGGCAGCAGTGCTGTATGCAAGGTTTGCTGTATACAAGGTTTGCTGTTGCCCTGCTCTGGTCCTGTTCACCCCATAAGTGCCCCAGCTCAAGACATCCTCACTGCCACCAGCACTCGGGAGCCCAAGCGCCGCCACTGCCGCGGCCCTGGTGCCTCCTCTGGCCAGGGCCAACCCCTCTTTCCCCTTCCAGGGTACCTGCGCAAGGTGCTGAGGAACCACACTGCCCACACCTGCGATGGAGAGCAGCTCCTCATCGTCTGCCCTCGCAAAACCACCATCAGCATCCTCGGTGCCTTCTACGGGCGCCGCGTGCCCAGCACCAACCTCTGCCCCAGCCCTGGCAACGCCTCCCAGGAGAGCACGGAGTGCACCTCGGGCACCGCCCACCTGGTAAGGGAGGGGTCCCGGGGGCCGGGCTGCACACCCCGCTGTCCCCGCATCGCTGAGCTGCCTGCTCGGGCGGGGGGTGCAGACAACGCAGCCTTCCTCTGCCCCGAGGGAGGCTGTGGCCATCAGCGTTGGGATTCACCTGTGGGGCCCTTTTCCAAATTTCGAAGATAAGGGTGAAAGAGATGTTCTGCCGTGGGCTCCGGAGTGGGGCCTGGCAGGAGGCACTGCTGTGTCCTGAGGGTGCAGCAGGCTCAGGGGAAGCCCTGGCAGCTGGGGCTGGATCTCAGAAGAAGGGGAGTGCTGCAGCCACGGTGTCGGGCTTGTGAAGCGAGACAGGACACCAAGAGACGCTGTGCTCAGCTCTGTGGGTGCATCCCCTGGGGTTAGCACAGAAGCAGCACCTGTCCGTGCTGGCAGCTCCCAGGGAGTGGATTAATGAAGTGGATCAAAGGGGGTCTGCTCGACGGAGAGGGTAGGAAAGCAGAGGTTGGCAGAAGGAAAGAGATCTCCCCAAAGCTGGTGCCTGGGTCCCTTGGTTTCATGTGCTGCTTTTCTACCCCTGTTCCAGCTCCTTGCTAGGGCTGGCGCAAACCCACAGCAAACCCAGAGGCTGCAGCTGCCTGCAGGGAAAGGGAATGAGCTGGAGAAGAGGAAAAAGAGCTGAGGGACCACTTCCCTGCTCTGGGAGCTCGCAAGGCTTTGCTGCCTGGTCCTGCTCCAGCCGTAGATCCCCTCCTGGCATCCTGCATGTCCCGGGAGCTCTGTAAATGCAGAGCCAGACCATGCTGGCATGGCACTAGGCTGGCCCCATGAAGCACCCTGAAAACACAGGTCAGGGTCCCCCTCCCTGCAGGATGGAAGGTACAGCCTGGCACAGGCATTAGGAGACCGAAGGGCAGGTCTGAGAGCAGGTCTGTGTAGCTCTGGTTCACACTGGGATGGAGCCGCTCCAGCCAGGGGACCGTGCTGGGACGAGGCTGGGATACCAACTGCTGCTGAAGGAGCAGGGATGTCTGGAGGGCAGAGAGCAGGGCTGCTGCCGAGCCTCAGCTCTGTTTAGGCAACACCTGCGAAGAGACATCGTGTTTCCTTTGTGAATCTCCCTTCTGGCAGCCAGCGAAGACCAAGGGGAGGCTCAGTCCTCTGCTGGGCTGAGGGGACAGGGACAGAGGAGGGGAAGGAGAGATGAGAAGGGTCTCCGTTCTGGGTGCTGGGATCCTCGGGCGAGGAGGCAGCGAGGGTCGGGTTGAGGGTCGGGAACAAACCGCTCCCTGCCGCCGGCAGCCCCTGCTCCGCTGCGGGGCCGCTGCTGCGGGAAGGAGGTGGATGCAGGGGCAGGGAGCACCACAGCCACCCTAGGCCGGGCTGCCCAGGGATTCCTGCCGCACCCAAGGGCCCGGCGCAGCCACCCGCGGCTTGGCTGCGGGGGCAGGAGGGGACAGCGGCCACCCCGCGGGACCTCGGCGGGACCCGGGCGGGTGAACCCTCGTCCCCACCTCGTGGCTGCGCGGGGACATTGCAGGGGCCGCGGGGACGTGAGCGCACGGGGCAGTGTCGGTGCACACGCCCGCACAGATGTTACAGATGTGCAGTGTGGTGCGGTGCTGGCAGCTCTGTGCTGGCACACAGCTCAGTGTGGGTGCAGGGGAGGAACTAGTTCGGGAACAGGCACTGGAACTGGGGTGTCTTGCATCGGGGGCAGGCAGGAGCAGCCGTGGGAGACCTCTGTGAGGTGAGAGGCTGTTTCACTGAGCCTGGTGATGGCACTGAGGGACAGCAGGCGAGCACAGCGTCGGGACTCCACACCCACCTCACGCCTGCTTCCCTCTGCTCTCCAGAAGCTGCTGGCTGAGTGCCAGGACAAGCAGTGGTGCCAGTTCTCAGTGCACAGCCAAGTCTTTGGGCCAGACCCGTGCCCCGGGACGCACAAGTACCTCATCACTTCCTACAAGTGCCGGCCAGGTGAGGTGGAGCAGGGTCTGGGTAATGCTACATGGGCTCTTTCTGGCTGCTCAGAAAGGGGCAGGGAGGAGAGCAGGGCTGCTCTTGTACCTCACAGCCCTCCTCCAACCCTGCCCTTGGCCTAAGGGAGGGGCAGCAGCTGATTCAGGATGCATTGGGACACTGCGGTGTCACTCCCCAGGGAACCATCGGATCAAGACCGTGTGTGAGAATGACAAGCTTAGGCTGCAGTGCCGACCAAAATCCATCCTGGCCATTTATTCTGCAAATTATGGACGATTCCTGCGGGGCAAACCGGAGTGTGATGCCCTGAACACTGGGGGACCCCATATAGGTACGCCAGAATGGTTCCAGACAGAAATGGGACCAGGAGCTGTGCAGAGAGTATGGCACAAGTACACCACTGGGCTGTACCTGTGCCCCTGGCCCCCAGCTGGCCAGTGCCTGGTGGACAGGGGCAGGCAGCCCTGCCCGTGGGTCCATGCCTCGTGTCTCTGCAGAGTGCTTGGCTCCAGACGCCCTGCGCAGGGTGTTCAAGAAGTGCCACCGCAAGGGGAACTGCACCGTGGCTGCTGACGAGGCCACCTTTGGGGACCCGTGCCTCCCTGGCATGAAGAAGCAGCTGCGAGTCTCTTACACCTGTGGTGAGAGCTCCCCACAGAGCTGGGGGCACAGGGGCACCGGCAGAGCACCTGCTGTGCCCACCCCGTGCCAGGCAGGCGGGAGCACAGGGCTCCTCGGGGAGGCAGGGGCTGCTGGGGAGGAGCGGGCTGGTGATGTTTGGTGTGTGCTCTCCTTGCAGTGCCCAAGCAGCTGCTGGAGGAGGTGGGCCCTGACACCTCAGACCCCTTCCTGCTCTCGGATTACATGCACGGTAACGCGGCGGGAGGGAGGTTACACCACAGGCAGTGTGGCACCATGTCCACGCTCGGGGCAACCAGCCCTTCCATGGCCTGTCTGTGTCCCTATACCAGCTCCATCCTAGCACCTCTGTCCCACGGCTGAGGCCACCCCTTGGTCAATGCCCATGGCTGAGGGGCTGGAGATGGGTCTGCTGGGAGTAGGGGAAAGGAGGGCCTGCAGGGTCACTCCCCCAAAGGATGGAGTGTGGTGTGGAGAAGGACAGGCAGGGGCAGGCGGCTGGGCCACAAGGAGCTGGGAGCACCTCGTGTCTCAGCCTGCACCCCCTTGTCGCTGCAGGTGGCTGGTACAAAGGGCCCAGGTTCTCCAGGCTCCGGGAAGACCGCATGATTTTTACTAGCTCTCTGGCAGCTTTTGCCCACCTTTGGGGTACGTGCCCTCCCCGGGTCTCACGCAGCACCCAGGGGAGCGGGACAGGCTGGGGGGTGACTGAGGTCCCAGATGGCCCCAGCTCAGCCCAGGGCTCATCTCAGAGGCAGCCAGACCCCAGACTCCTCCAGGCAGGCAAGGGAGGTGGGCACCAAGCACCCGTGCTGGGTTTGGGGTGGACAGATAGGGCGGGAGCTCAGGGGTTGAACAAGGCCTGAGGACCTTCAGCGTCAGCAGTTGCAGTGCAGCTGCGGTCCTGCCTGTGGATCTTCCCTTCCCAACAGGCCAGATTACCCATTTGGTCTCCTTCCCTCCTGCCCTGTCTGCAGGCACTGATAGAGAGCACCTCTCTGCAGGCAAAACTTCCCTTGCCAGAGGAAATTACTCATTTAATTCCTGAAGAGATGATTCTTTCCCCTGCTCTGCCTCTCCACATCCTGAGGGGGGGTTTCTATGGGGAAAGGCACATTTTGGGACACTGGTGGGTACTGATGAGGCTCTGAGTGCCACTCCCACGATGACTGGGGCAGGGTCTGCCCTACCTCTGCAGCCTGGATGCTGAGGGCATCCCTGCTCCTCTCCTCTTACTCCCATATGCCTGGCAGAGGGGGTTTGCAGGCGCTGGTAACCTGCAGGCTGCAGAGCAGTTTGTACCCTGGTGTGTCTCCTTGCTCTTCCCCTCAGGTGTCCCAGAGAAAGTCGGCCTCTACTTTCTTTGCGGGGTCTCAGGAGGCCTCATGCTGCTGCTGTGTATCATCAGCCCCAAAACAGCCTTCCTGCAGGAGGTGGGGGAGGCTCTCAAAGACCCAGAGCTGGGGAGCAGCTCAGAGCTGGGCAGGACCAAGCTGAGGGATGAGCAGGATGAAGACCTTCCTGACGACAGCTCCTCAGACTCCTCCTTCCGCCGCCTCACCCGCACCTACCGGGCCACCGACAGCATCTTCAGCCCTGAGCTGACAGCAGCCATGGAGGGAGCGGTGGATCACCAGGGCTACGGCGGGGATGAGATCTGGATGCCCAAGGAGTCCAGTCCATATGCCATCCATAAGATCAAATCAGCCACCAAATAAGGACTGGAAGAAAATGGGTGGGGAGCAGCAGGGGGTGCAGGCTCAGCAGCGGGACCTGACATCAGAGACATAAGTTTGGGCTCTTTGGGGTGACTGCGCACCCCGAGCCGCAGCAGGGTCACGGCAGCTCCAGTGTGTCCATCAACCCACTACTCCACCAGCCTGGAAACCTCTAACCTGGGGGTGAGATGCGGTCCCTGGTTGTGATGAGGGGCTGTGGGATGGCTCCTTTGCCACGCCGCTAACCCTAAGCTAACCTCCCCATTCTTGGCTCGCATCATGTGGCTCTAGTGTTTAACCCTGCTCAGCCGAGCCCACCTTCAGCCCTCTGAGGGTGTTTGCTCCCATTTCTCCTTGGGTGCTGGCTTCCACCCCTGGTGCTGCCAACACATCCTGCACTCAGGGAGTGTGCTGGTGACAGAGAGGCAGGAATGGCCAGGACACGGTGGGGATGCAGGTGGAGCAGGTGGGCAAGCACAGGGGGCATCACCCAGCACAGCTCCACCAAGGTGCATGCCATGCAGCCCTGGTGCCCCGGGGGAGTTGCTCCCTGGGCTGGAGCAGCTCAGCACAGCACTGGCTCTCACCTCCCTGAGGGCATTCAGGGACTCTGTCACCCTGCCTTGCTCCGTGCTTTCCTTTGTGCTTTCCCCACTGTCAGGAAAGCCCCGGGCACAACTTGCTGGGGCTTTTTCCAGTAAATAAATGCAACAGCTTTTGGACTCAACGTCCCTCCCTGACCTTAGCCATTAGTAGTGAAAAGAGGAGAAAAAGGAGGAGGCAAAGTTCAGCCCTCCCTGTGCAGAGCAGCTCCTTGCCTTCTACCAGTGCTGGCACTGGGCCATGGGGAGCAACAAGTTGGGCCTGTTTTATCATGGGAAAGGATAAGTTTTCAGCCTGGGGAAGGGAAATGGGGGAGAAGCAGTCTGTGTGGATTCCATGAATGATGCTTCCTTGTCCTTGCAGCTTCTCTTGAGCCTGAGGCTCCCTGTCTGGCAAACAATCCTGGAGCTGAGGTCCCCAGATGCCACACAGAGGGGCTTCTTGGCAGCCCTGCAGTGCCAGGGAGCTGGGCTAGGGCTGGGGGCTGCTCCAGCTCTGAAAGGCAGCTCTGTGGTGCTGTGGGAAGAGGCTGGATGGAAGCAGTGACCCAGCTCTCCTCACAACAGGGACACACTAGGCACAGATGCTCTTGAGTGAGCACACAGCAGAGCCTAGTGGGGGGAGCCAAGGACTTGCATCCTGCCTGATTTGGGTGTTTGCTGAGGGAATGCCAGAGCCCAAGGAGAGCTTGAGGGGCTCTCACCTCCAACTGGCCCCCAGATCCTTCGGTGATGGGCAGGGCTGAGAATCACAGCCTTCCATCCATGCTCAGACAGCTGGCCCAGCTCCTGCTGCAGACCCACGTCATCACCTTGCACTTCTTGCTCCCCTTTCCTCCCATACCCCCCATGGCTGGGGGGGATTTCAGCTCGTATGGTGCAAGTCACAGCCCCTGCAGCAGGGCTGGGCTTCCCGAGAGCCTCCCAAGGAGCACCAGCACAGCAGCGCCGTGGAGACTGGAAAAGCCGGCTTCCCCATGCCAAGCCTGGGCAGGACAGGCAGACATGGACCTGTCCCAAAGCAGGCAGCTCACCCCAGCCTCCACAGAGCCACGGGCAGACTTGGATGGGGGTTTTGGCTGAGGATCTTACCCCACGGGGCAATGCACCATGTTTCCATTGGCGGTGGGATGTGTCCTGGCTCTGCCTGGCTAGTATGCATCCACCTCACACTTTTGGCTGGGCTATACACTGCCCCAACATGCATAAGGATCCAGGCAGGCACCTAGACCCCACAGGGATCCCAGAACAACAGCGAGCAAGCCTCAGAGAGCTCCCAGGCCAGGGACAGTGGCAGCGACACCGGGGGAGGTGGGACTGGAGAGGACAAGTGGCCAAGGAGGACACAGGGTGGGCTGGAGCTGCAGCAGCCCTGAACCAGTTTTGGGAACTGAAGGGACCCAAGATTAGTGGGACCCAGGTTTAAACTCCCACTAGCCCTGTGAGCATCCCATAGCTGTGCTGCACCCCAAAGCCATTCTGGTGCTCCTGGCTGTCCATGTCCCAGGTCTTTCTGCTGCAGACGTGGCAGAGCTGCCTGCACAGAGCCCAAGCCGTGTGCCTGATCCTGCCCGCGTGGCCCCTGGGTGGCAGGTTTAAATCCTCTCAGATGCTGGCACTGAGGCGCTTCACTGGCCCCACCAGCAACAGTAGCACACGGGTGTGGGATTATACCAAAGGATTTTCTTGGGCTAAACCTAGGAATCTGCAAGGTTTTTCTGGGATTCTGGTGGCTGGGGGAAGCTCTCCTCTGCTGTAGCACTGAGCTCTGCTGAGTTTACCTCAGTGGGGGCTTCGTTTGAGCCAGAGCTCAGTGCAGTGCTAAAGCCCCCCAGAGCTGCTGAGGGCACGGGACCCCCACACGGCACTGGCACATGAGCCAAGGACTGTGCTAGTTCCAACATGTTCTCTGGAAACCCTCGAAGGAGCAGAGTGATACAGTGAGCATCGAATGTATGAGCTTGGAACATCAATCATGCGACTGACACATGAAAAGTGGGTGACTTTTCCAAGACTCGTTTATCAAGGAACAAAGCAAGCTGTGGGTGTGAGGAGTCTCATGCATTCCTTTCCTGACACATGGAAGCTGATTACAAGCCAACCACATTATCCCACGAGTATGACAGCCTTGAGCGAGCCTTCTCTGAGCATTCCCGGCTGCATGGCAGAGGTCTGACGCCCTCGAGGCTGCTCCTTGAGGCACAGAGGACTCTGACCCTCGGCAGATCTTTGGTAAGCAGCCAGTATTGCATATAGCTCATAGTGCAGGCACTGTGATCTGTGCCTTGGTAACTTTGACCCTGTCCTGGTCGCTGTGGATCCTGGTTTGAATGGGGTGGTCCCAGCAAGCCTCGCCACTGAACTTGGTCTGTTGTGCCTGTAGGACACCACGTGAGCACTGCTCCTGTGGTACCTCCCACAATGAGAGCAGGGTTAGATAAAATATTCAAAAAAATTCTTCCCTGTGAGGGTGGGGAGGCCCTGGCACAGGTTGCCCAGAGAAGCTGTGGCCGTCCTACCCCTGGAAGTGTCCACGGCCAGGCTGGACGGGGCTTGGAGCAACCTGGGATAGTGGAAGGTGTCCCTGCCCATGGCTGGGGTTGGAACTGGATGAGCTTTAAGGTCCTTCCCCACCCAAACCATTCTGTCATTCTATGATTCTCCAAGTGATCCAAACCCTCCATTCCTGATGGAGGTCATGGGAGGTGCACAGCCCACCCTGGGCACACCCTGTCCCCCAAACCAGAGACCTCCAGCCCCATGAGAAAGGGCAGCCCTGCAGTCAGGAGTGGGGGGGCAAAGTGGGGGACCCACAGCTCCAGCTGCAGGCAGAGGCAGCGGACTCAGAAACCCGCAGAGGTCACTCACAGAATCACGGAATCAATTAGGTTGGAAAAGACCTCTGAGATCATCAAGTTCAACCTTCGACCCAACACCACCTCGTCTACCAGACCATGGCACTGAGTGCCTCATCCCGTCTCTTCTTAAGTACCTCCAGGGACGGGCAGCCCATTCCAATGCCCAGTGTCCCATTCCAATGTCCAATCACCCTTTCTGCGAAGAACTTCTTCCTAATGTCCAACCTAAACCTCCCCTGGCGCCGCTTAAGGCTGTGCCCTCTTGTCCTACTGCTGGTTGCCTGGGAGAAGAGACCGAAACCCATCTCGCTACACCTCCCTTCAAGGAATTGTAAAGAGCGATAAACAAGGTCTATCGCTCCTGAGCCTCCTCTTCTCCAGGCTAAACAACCCCCAAGTGCGGCGGCGGCCGCGGAGCCCCCACGCCGGCCGGTGCTGCCGCCATGACACCCCCTCCGACCCCTCAGGGAGGGATTTAAACGGCGCCCGCTCCCACCAATCACCGCCCGCTCAGCCGGCCGCTCGCCCCGCCCCCTCCGCGGGCTCGCCCTCCCATTGGCCGCTCGGGCTGAATTTTAAACCCTGCCGCCCTGCCCCTTAGCAACTGCATCCGTCCGCGCCCGCCGATTGGCCGCCGCCCGGCCCCGCCCCGCGCGCTGATTGGGCGAGGCTCGGCCAGTGGGGTCCGGCCGCTGCCGAACTGCTACTTTTGAAAGTGCCGGTGCCGGCGGTGCGGGGAGAGCGGGCCGGGCATGGGTGAGTGAGGGTGCGGGTGGTCGGGGAGTGTGGGGACAGCGGGTATCGGGGCAGTGTGGGTAGAGGGTATGGGGAGAGAGGGTACCGAGTAAGGGGTGAGTGTTGGACGGGTAATGGGGGAGAGCGGGCCGGGCATGGATGAGCGTGGGACGGGCATCGGTGAGTGTTGGACGGGTAATGGGGGAGAGCGGGTACCGGGCGTGGGTGAGTAAAGGACAGGCATGGGGGAGAGCGGGTACCGGGCACGGGTGTGGGACGGGTATGGGGGAGAGCGGGTACCGGGTAATGCGTGAGTGAGGGACAGGCATGAGGAGAGCGGGTACCGGGCGTGGGTGTGGGACGGGTATGGGGGAGAGCGGGTACCGGGCATAGGGGAATGCGGGACGGGTAATGGGGGAGGGTGGGTACCCGGGCTCTGGGGTGCGCTGGGAACCCCGGGAGGGTTGGGCGAGCAGAGAATTCGAGCACCCCGGTGGGCTGCAGTGGAGTGGGGAACCCCGGAAGGGGAGGGGGCAGGTGAGTGGGGGACGCTGGGACGCCCGGGTGGTGCATGTGAGCGGAGGGGGCAGGGGAGTGAGTGTAACTGAGACCACCCGGGGTGTGCAAGGGAGAGGGGTCTCCGAGGGAGTGCAAGCCCTTGCATCCTTCTCTGGGATGCAAGAAGCTGGGAACTGCCTCCCCCGTATCCCTGCAGGGGGCTTTAAGTGGGAGTCTTAGGGCTCCACGTTCTCTCTTTCTTGGGAGGTGCACCCCCAACCAGACTTGCTCCCTACCTGTCTTGGGGCACAACCCGCCTGCCACGCTCAGGGAAGGGGTGGGGGGTCAGTCCCTGCTGTGCTACCCCCCAGGAGGGACAAAATGCCCCCCTATTCTGCCCCAAGTGGGAAGGGTGTCCCCGGGGGCAGGCAGCAGCCTCACCCCCTGCTCTGCCCCCAGCTTGCTCGCGGAGGACCAAGGAGAGGACACCACTGCCGAGGGAGAGGACGCCGCTGCCCCGCAACGCCAAGATGCTGGCCACCAAACAGACCCGGGCAGGCAAGGTGGGCCCCACGGCAGAGAATGTTGACCCCGAGAAGGTGAGTCCTGAGCCAGGCCAGGGGTGTGGGGGGCTCCTGTGGGGCAGCTGAGCACCACCTTCTAACAGTCTCTATTGCAGGAAGAGAACTGTTACGCCAAGAGATCTTCATCCTCACCCCAGGGCGGGCCCAAGAAGAGGTCGGCGTTCGGGGACATCACCAATGTGAGTACTTCTGTGAGGATGGGGGCTTTGGTGCCCCCTGTAAGCCCCCCACGGGAGGTGGGGATATGTCCCATGCCCCACTAGCAAGAGGAGAGGTCTCCTTGCAGGGCATATCTCGCTTCCCTCTGTGCAGCCCCTGTATCCCTCTGTTCTGACCCAAACAGGCTCGCAAGAACCAGGTGGTGGCAGGGAAGAAGGAGGCCGTGAAAGTGGCACCACCCAAGGCACAGAAGGCACAGGGCACACTGGG